TTACTATTATGGAGTCCTATGTAAAATGGATAATAAAGTGCTAGTACATTTAAGTAGAGTAATACATTACCTTCGGGATGCTTGCTGAGTAAGCACTTATTTCATGAAGTCAAATACTGAAGTTGTGTGTTTCAGGCTGCTTGATATTCATTCCAGGAAAGCAAATTGGTGTGTTTTCAGTCTTAGAGGCGTGAATGACATGGCTGCTGACTTCAGCAGTGGACAGTTACCTTTTAAATAGGATGTTGAATTAACAAATCATTGTCATTTCAATCAATATAAATTTATGGGGAGGACGGAAGATATGTATTATAATATATCACAATTAGTATGCTTGGGCACTACAAGAAAATCCTACAGTTGCACATTTATTGTAAGGTGATAGAAAGTATTGTTTCAAAATATCACAGATAGTAAAATTATATTTCAGAAATATATTTAAATATTAATTGTTTTGGTTTGGATTCATCTTAGGCAGCCTTCCTTAATCGGCTGGCCTTCAGATACATTCAACTTTTAACTTCTCAGGCATGAAATTGAAATCCAACATTTCTGATGGCTGCTGGTTTGCAAAGCTGTTTTTAGGCCTGAACTGTATGCTATAATGACCCATTAGAACAGGCATGATCAATTTGTTCCCCCCATGTGTTTCATATTACAACTCATGTATTGGGTGCTGTTGGGTGTTGTGAGTTCTTGTTATGTTCTAGCAGTTTTCATGGAATAGGTGTTATATTAAAATGAAAGATCAAAGATGAATTCATTGACTTAAGAGGACATTATCAAGAATTTAAATGTTTTAGGGACCATTTGTGAAATTATAAAATAAATCAATATATATTTTGAATTACAATGATTGCAATTACAATGATTGCAAAATTTAATCCTAGATGGATGATAATTTTATGCTTTTTCAGAAGTGTTAATTACCTAAGCTTTTTGCTCAGGATCAGACAGATGTCATGTGACAAACAAGGAAAGTCTGCTTACCCTACTCTGCACAGAGCGGACAGTATTAACTACCCTGGGAATGGATAGAGTAGGTTCCTATTTTTTTTGCTTATTTGTTTTAAAATAACATTTATAGTATTTTTATTTACAATTATTTCTATTTCTTATAACATCTTTTGAGAGATTGTTATCCTGAAACATAGAATATAAAGAACTGTAATGAATAACTATTTTAATTCCTAGGTTTGCTGCAAAGTATGATTTTTGGGAGCAATCATGAGATTCCTTTTTAGTCTTCTTACTCTCCAGTAGTGCCAGGCTGCATGTTTTATATAAGTAGTAACAACTGATAGAGAAAACATTTACTCAGGTCCTTCTCAAGGTGAGATAATCTCAAGACTGAACATGAATCCATGGCACGTAGACTGAGGATTACAGTCCAGGTCTTATTCATACATAATTAAAAACCAGTGGAGGCATTATGACTTCAACTGTCTTGCATTCCTGTATCTATTCAGGCAAAATGACCAAATAAGGATATGATAGATTCATTATGTGTGGTCATAAACCATCACAGAAGACTAATGCATGGTTTGAAATATTAGGGATATGAAACCCTGGCTGAAGTCATAAGGAGTTAAGGAAATATCATGCTTGCCACTTAATTTGTGCATGTATTCAGCATCTATCTGTTGGAAACAATTTCACTTGGACAAGGTGAACATGTTTTCTATTATCTCTATCTTTCTAATCAAAGTTGCCTAGCTAGACAAGCAACCAAAGGGCAGACTGGTTAAGGAAAAAAATAATCTATTTGGATGGGATCAGAGTTTGCTTTGGCAGTGGGGTTGCCTTAATATCACTGAAGTGGCAAACCCTACATTATAAATACTTGATTTCAATTTTTTGTCAATAAGTTTTTTTTAATTCCACTGATGTAATCATTTCTAGAATCTACCATCAGAAAACCAATATTGCTAAACTGAGATCAAGGGTACTCATTTATGGTTCACATTAGCCATGGCTTTGTGATTGATGCTAATGCTTTAATCTTTATTTTCACCACAGTACTGTGTCCAGTTAGTAATCTTTTCAATTCCAATGCTTTTTTTCCTTAGTTATCAGGGGCAGCCAAGCCTTTGAGCCACCAGTTCTTGCTAAATTTTCTAAGGAAAATTGGCCTAAAAACTAACTTTCAGTTCCCCTTTTCCTCTGCATTGTCTCATTTCTTCTGTAGCCCCAAATCTCTGCTGATTTGCTCTTTCTGCATTCTTTTTATTTGGACAATGCACTCTCTCTGGCTGGTGAAAGAAAAAGTAGAAACTTTTTTTTGCCAGATTTTAGAAATTATCTAAAGATGTTTACATGAAGATAGTTCTTTCACTGACAGCTAAAACCAACTTAGTTCTTTCGTTATGTGCCAGAGAAGGTGATTGTTTTATTGATGAATATGGAAAAAGTGAATAGTCCAGTGCTTTGTTCCATTCCTCTAATTTACGACATCAATAATAATGGATGATGGATGAGATACCCAAACATTAATAAATAATCTTAAAAGGTGTACTAAATCAAAGAGGAAGAGACCAAGGAATGATCTCCTATAATGCTTCAAGGAGGATAAGCTAACTTGAGTGTCATTAATTCTGCTATATACAACAAACAAAATCCCATTTAAAATAGATGTACTGCCAACAAGGTAAGAGCTGTACTGACATTGACACCTTTCCTTGCATTTTACAGTAATATATGAACCTTTAAAGCAGGGTCTCCATTAATTAAATGCATTTGGAGGAAGATGGTGTGTCTGAAAAAGTCATGTTATTAAAACATCACCCTTGCAGTGTTGGATTTTCTCTCTTATTTAATGGAAAGTAATTGAGTTTTGCTACAAAATGGTTTATTTCTTTATTTGATTTCATTTGAAATATATTGAAATGGTAATAATAAAAATTGCAAATGAAGATGAAGAAACTGGGCTTTCAGATGTTGCTGAATTACAATTCAGCCTCCCTCACTATTTGCTGTGCAGGCTGCTGCCAGCAAAAGTCCTATAGTCCTCTTAGGTATCCTACTATTATTTGTCTTAATATATTGGAATGTGATGCTTGATAACAAAAATATAACATGTTTAAAATTATTTACATAACTCACAGAACATTCCTGTGCATGACTACTTAGTAAGGTTTCCTCATAGGTCAATGTGAATAGGGTCACAGCGCATTAAAATATATTCATTTTCCAAGCACAAATAGATTTATTCCTTCTAGATTTGTATATGCATGTTTGTATATGTGTCCTTTATGTTAATTTCCTATGTTGGTCTATGCTCTCCTACTCTGTCTAAATTCATATAGTTTTGTCAGATACCCTGCTAGCAAAATCTTTTGTTACTCTCCAAAATTATCTCAGCACTGAATAGCTTTTGGCATTGTAAGCCTTTCTAGATGGTATTACAAAGATTCATAGGGTTGAGGGCTGCATATTTGAAGGTAGTCCCACTTAATTCCTATGGAAGCTAGCATGTCATACAAACATTATTTTTGCCCTCCCCCCCCCCAAAGTACAAAAGAGGCACTTATCTCCCAACACCAAAACAATGATTATTTCTCTCTTCCCTCTGTTGATGATGCCATGTAATGAAGCATGTTCCTTACAGCTGTCAGAGACCAAAACAACACCTTAAAAGTATAGTCAGTAACCTCCAGGGGATTGTTGCTCCTGTCTTAAAGAATATGACAGTTCTTTGAGAGTGCACTCTTAGTGTCAAATTGAAATTTTATTTATTTATGGTTTACTTTTTTAAGCTAGTAGTTCTAATTAAAATTATTATATTATAGCCAGCATGCAGTAATGGAATGTAAAGGTGCTATTCCAAATAGTGCAAGCTATTCAGAAGGAGGGGCACTATATAGGTGCTATATTCTGATAATTGACTTAAGACTTTCATTAGAAAATGTTAAATCTTAATTTAGGGGATAGATACACTACATTTCATTTTTAGCTCTTGGAGAAATTATATTTATACTCTAATTAGAATATAAATATAAATGGGAATGTAAGAATGTGAAATATCAATTGAGTTGCAGGATGTTTCTTTCAGTGTAGACTTTGGGACCAGACTACAAAATGAGTCCTTTTTTGATTATTAATATCCTTCTTGAGAAGGAAAAAAAAGTTTCCTTAAAGCTTTTAACACCCCAGAAGAGCTTGAAATGACAATCTTTGGACCTGATTTTTGGCCCTTTTTGATTCCTCAAATCAGAATTTAAATGGTGATTTTGGGGCTTTTTTTTTTAGGTGGGAGAAAATTTCAGCACAATTGTTTTTGGTAAAGTCATTGTATTGCCATTTGGAGCCCTCCCAAGGTTGGGGTGCCGAGTGCTGGTTCTCAAGCCCTCAAATGTTGTCAACTTCTGATGTAAGCCTTTCATTTGAATGGCAGGATTGTTCTAAATTCCACTGTCTTTCAGGATATAATGCTTTGGAGTTCAGTACTGAATTCCAAATACTGAAATAACTACTGAGGAACTTTGATTTGGAATATTCCACTTTGGTGGTTGATGTTGAAGTTTACCATAACTATAGCTTTTCTTTTCAATTTAAATTGTGTTTATATTCAGATAGCAGACTTGCTTATGGCAAAATAAATGTGTTGGTCTGATAATTCTATATTGAATTTGCTACTGCAGACTAATATGGCTACTACTTCCCTAGAAGTAGAATTCTAGTAATCGTTGTCTATTTCCAAGGAGTGTGAATGTCAGCCATTTAGAATAAGATTTAAAAATCAATCAAGCATTTTGTCCTCTCGCATTTTGTCCTCCTCCCTGAACAAGTGCCAGTTTGCACAGGTTGTGTATTAGTTTAAATACAACAGAGATCAATGGGCCTGAAATCATTCCATAAAAGACTTCTAAAAACTTTAGGTAGTTAGTAGATGGAAATGGTTGTTTCACATTAAATTGCTTTCAAATAAAGTGTTGTCATCCACTAATGCATGAGATACCATCTGTAATAATTAGGGTTATTCCAATTGTTTCTCCCTACAGTAAAACTTCTGAAGGTTTGGAGAAGATTGTAAAGCAACGACCAAGAAAGACTGTAGCAGTATTGTAAGTACTGCACTGAAGAAAATGTAAATTAAGCATGTTACAAAGAAGCTGCCTATATATATTTGATGAAAAATTAATTTGTGAAGAGGAATTGCATGGAATGTAAGGGCATACTTTATAGTTGCAGTCTTGTTAAGTTACCAGGATTGCTTCATTCTTGTAAAATATAAAATGTATCCTTGTAACATAATTAGGAATTCACCAATATCGCATAAAAATATCTTTTTATCTAACCAAGATTGATCTATTTTATATACATTTGTTTATTTAAAACTATCAGAATTTTAGAAAATCATTATAGTTTTGTGGGGTTGTCATTTATTTTAGTGACTTATTGTTTAGGTTATTTTGCAGAATTATTTATTTGCTGATTTATTTATGTATTTCATTATTTATTTATTTGATTATTTAGTAAATTATTTATCTGATGAATTATTAATACATCTTCATGACAAGCTTTAAATTATTTATAACTTAATTTTGATTTTATTGCTTTTCAACGCTGCATTGTTACTGACTAGATTTTTTCCCCCTCTTACTTGGTTCTTGAAAATTAAAGTATTAGCTTTGAGGCAAGTTTATATTCATTGCAAGATCTTTCTCCCTCTCTCTCCCTCTCTCTGCCTCTCTCTGTGTGTGTAGATATATAAACATATATATTCTGTAAGTAGTCCCTATAAGTAGACATTTTACATGGCTTTTTGTAACTTGTGACAGTTACCTTTTCAATTTTTCCTTCCTATATTTAATTATGTAGTCTCCTGTAAATTAGGAATTTGATTCTTCCATGGGGGATTCTGATGGAGAAAGCTTCTCTGGCTCTAGGTCATTATTTTTACTGACATTTGTTGATACTGAATATGTTCGTGTTGTTTAAAGCTTCAGAAATAATTTTCAGAACATAATATGTGAAGCAGAAAATTAATGGAAACTTCTGAGGCCAATCAAATTTGAATAGTCTTTGCTTTGGAGAAAATTTTCTGTATGATAAAATATTTTTTGAGTGCTCATCCCTTTCACATGTTATTCTAAACATAACATGACTCTAGATTCGGAGTACAGTTTTATATGAAATGTAGTTCTGTTTGGCTACCCTAGGCTTTCCATCTACCCTTAATCTGTTCTATTTTCTGAATTATACTGGGATGTAAAACATTTTTGTGTTACATTTATTTAAATGTCTTTACACTGACTTCCTTAAAGCAGCTTACAAAAACTAGTTAAACTATAAAATTATTTAAAAAATAAATAAAATTGCTTAAATAAAAACCACAGCTGTTTAAATTTCAACTCAGATATTTTAATTAAAGCAACTAAGTTTTAAAGGTCTGTGTAAGAGATAGCAAAGATAGGGACATATACAGTATGCATTTTTGAGGAGAGACTTCCAAAAATATAGGGCATCTTCTAAAAAGATCTTACATTTTACATCTTACTGTGGAAATTGATAGTAAGTAGCACATAGAACTTCAGGCCCAGCAGATTCATGTTACTGAGGGAAAGGGAGTTACTTTAACCAGAAGATTTTTCCTTTTCCTTGTCCTATATGAAACTTCAGCATCTTCCTAGGTATTAAATTACTTCTGCTACCACCATAGAACAATGAGTGGAATTAAGAGAGAAGAGTTCTCATTCTCTGTTATGCTTAAGCTTCCTAGCATCTGAAATTTATAGAAAATATCAAACCCATGAGAATTGTCAAGCTTTAATCTCAGGTTTTTTTTATGTGGATTGCAGCTCTAACCAAAGTTGAACTAAAGGGCTCTGTCTAAATTAACAGAATTCTCTGTTCAGGATACTTCTGTCTCTTCTGGATTTAGCTTCATCCATCTTAACATTGTATCCGTGTTCTATTTCCTTGAGTTTTTCCAGCTTCCTTGGGGAGGTGGAGAAAAAAGATGCAGAGATAGATCAGCTACATAGTTATGACACAATAAGTTACTGGTTTATTTTCTCCTGTAGTTTATACTGATATGAAAAAGTATGGAGGATAAGGTGAGTTTTTGAGACGCTGCAGGGATCATATGAAGGAGCAGAAGTCCTCCTTCCCCAGTACCACTTTCTGAGTCTACCCTTTAGAAAATATCAGGGCCACTATTACGTTCTGTTTCCTTGCCATCTAACATCTTTTGAGTTTCATATATTTCTGGTATTTGTATGCAAGTATAGCGTGTGGAACTCAAATAGTGTGTTCTGATAGTGAGTAATGGTACCTACAGTTAACCCACTGGGTTCTATGGCACGTGGGCTTGCCTTCCTGGAATTCACAATAAATGTGGACTGTTGTATGCAATAATGCACACTTATTAAACTGTCTACTTACTAAGTAACTGTCTGGTCTTTGTACATAAGGTGCTACCCCTTAAACTAAACACATGGTCTACATAGAGCCAGCGGTGAGAGTGATGTGCTTATTGGGTAGTCTTATTCTTTCTGGGATTCAGTGTTATAGTAGATAAAAATCAGAGAGGAAGAACAGTATAGGTACAATGGCAAATGAACACAACAATCACTTTTGGTGTACAATCTTCTGTAATTTAGACCCAAGTTACCTGCAGAACAACGTATTCTTAGATTATCTCACCATTTCAGGTCTTCAATAATAGTGCCAATTTTTGCTTTTTTTTCCCCCTCTTGTGGTGTGGTCTGTATTGTGTAACAAATCTCCCCTGTAGTTAAGACTGGTCTTCTACTTATTACTGTAGAAGTAATAAGCCCTTTCAGAATGTTCCTTAATGCTGATTGTGGTTTTTGTTTTTATATTGTTTTAAATAAGCCATGAGTAGACAGCATGAATGAATGAATGCTGAATGAATAAATTTAAATGAATTTAAAAGCAGAGTGTTAGAGAGATCAAAAGGTATGATGAAAGGTGAGCACTACAGAGAAGATAGAGGAAGAAATGGGAAGGAAAAGCTAATGAAAAACAGGATATAGGTGCTTCTAGGTAAATAATTTGATATATGTTGAGGGTACTTAACAAAGGATTAAGTATTTATTATTGTATTTATTTCCTACCTTTTAAAGAAAAATAGTACACAAAATTAAAAAAACAATTAAAACTGAAAAGAATAACAATTACAAATTATACTTACACAATAGCAACATGTCAATTCAGAAAACTAAACAAAAGTGATATGCCCTTTCTGAAAGCAAATAAAATCATTTTATCTTAAACATAAGTATTACAGTTTAGAATAATTCTCATGTATATGAATTACTTTGGTTTCATTAACAGCTATGAAGGTTTTACAGTTCATTTTTACCTTCTGTTTTATTTTTTGATTTAGTAACCCTACTTAATTGCTAACCAGTCTGTCATTATTTGCCTTTTTTAGGTCATAGTGTATGTTTCATAGACTGATGGTTACACTGATGATAAAGATGTTATTCTTATCATTGTGCCTTGTGCCTAGTGTAGTTTTTATTGTATTTTGTGCTTGAAGTGAATTTAAAGTTTAGAATTTAAAGTTAAACATGGGAAAGGATACCTTGTATATTTCAAGTTGGGTTGCTGCTGAAATACAGTAGAAATGGCCTCTATAGATAGGTTTCACTATATAACTTAAATTATGCATGTGTATATCTAAATTCCTTATTTTGAAATATTGAATGTATGAATATTTAATTGGTATCTTGCTTTAGTGTCTTCATATGCTTGCTTTAAAGGAAGCTGTTTCCTTTGATTTATATACATTGATAAAAACTGATAAAAAAGATATAGTATGTATCTATAGGTTTTCTCTAGTATTAGATGAATAGCTTTATATATACGTATCTTTATAAAATATATTTATATTATTTATTTAAATATAGATTTATATTTGCTGAAGTTGGGTATTCCATGTTGATATGATACCTTTTGGAGCATTTTACATAGTAATTTTTATAACCCATACTTAGAAAGATCAGACTGATTGCAGTGTTTAGTAATAATAAGTTGCATTCTCTAATTCACGCTAAAGTATATCCACATTATAATGCATGTATTCTTTGTCTTTTGTTTTATTTACTTGTTTGCTTGTTTATTTGATTTAACCTTTTAAGCTGAAATTCTCTATAACTGTACTTTCTCCTCAGAATATAAAATTGATTATTGAAATGGTCTGTAAGGGATTGGTATTAAATGCTGCAGGATATTCTGTTATTCACTTATACAATCATTAAGTGCTTCCTGAACTACATATTACGATAGTAATGAGGGTAATATAGGAGCATTTATGCACTGGCCCTGAGTATTTCTACTTTATAATTATGACAAGTGAAACATTGCCAAAGGTCAAATTAAACCAGAGAGTTCTTCACACCCACACATTTACCAGCTGATTTATGAGAGTAGCTGGTTGACTCTACTTCATAATTTTAGGAAAGAAGATACTGATTTTTTGCTTACTTAATGCCTTGTGTGCTTTGAGCAGTAAGAATTTTGAAAAGAAGTATCATGATTACTATAAAATTCAATTTTTTTTTAATTTCAGTCTTGAATTGAGTATATGTTTATGCTTCCTCCACATCAGTATCTTATAGTTTGAACCAAGAAAATTGCTATGTTGTAAAAAAAGAAATATGTTCAGACTTTTAGGTAGGTTTTGTAAGAAAAAAATTCTTGCTACTACATAACAGAACTTAACTTATCTCAACAGGTCACTTTCCTTGCAGCTCTGTGATCTGGGACCAGACTTTTCCCTCTCATGAACATTTTTATTCTGGCAGGCATTTAAAGTCTTAAGCTGGTTTTCTGGGTGGATGCTGTCTCTTTTATTAATGTATCTTAGTGATATTTTAAAGTAAGTTTTCCACTGTGGTTTTAATTTGTTTTTATTATTGCTAGGCCACCTTGAATGTCACTCAGTGGAAAGATGGCATGTAAATAAAATAAACATTTCTAAGTAATGTTAAATAGATAAAATTAACACTGCAGAGCAATTCAGTGAGTTCAGTATCATGTAGCAGCTCTTTAGAGGAAAGAACTGAAATCACCTACTGGACAAAACTAGTTC